AAAGTATGCTGGGCAAAAAGTACTAAAAAAAATTAGGAATTATTGTAAACAGTATCTGTTGCCAAGCTTGATAAACAAGGAAAATTTTAAAGCTTGTAAATTAGTTAAGTACACACAATAGTTGAATAATCTCCAAGAATGATCGTGTCTGTCTGATAAAAGTTTCATTAGCAACCAACTTTCCTGTTAGCAATGTCTAAGCGACTGCAGAGCGCTCCCACGGCCACAGCCCATGTGCTTTGCCTGCCAAAGTCCCAAGCGGCCAGACTAATTTCTTAGGGGCAGCCCTGGCTAATCGTCCAGACAACAGTGGTGATTGTGCTGTCTTTACTCAGGGCTGTCGGCTGAAACGGCAGGGGTGGGGGTTCCTCACTAGGAAAAGAAACCTTCTGGACACAAGCATAATCCTCATTAGCTTCAGCATCTTGGGGCTCAACATGCAGCGCCGTTCTCTCCTTCATGAAAACATGCTGCAATACCGCCGTGACCGGGACAGGTAAGGGACCTGCGGCACACAGGCACACCTACTTCATGCCTAAGGCTTCCTGACCACTGTCCTCCTTTCTCTTCCACCTCCCCACCAGATCTGCTGTATTTGTTTGGATTTGTCCACTAGCCCTGCTAAGAGGCTCTGTGGTGCTCAGGTATCTGTAGAAGATGATGCGTTTAAGTTTCAGAGCAAGGGCTTGGAACTGGGGTTTCTTTGTATGCATAAAGCCCAAGATAAGACAAACAACATCCTTAAAAAAGAATACGAACCCAGTACAAAACACAGCTTTCCAAGAAGCGGCTGTTTTCAGGCATTTTTTTTTTTCTATTACCCATACAGGACTTTTGAGCACTTTTAGATCAAGTATTTCTAAAGCTAGGGGCTTGAGATCTAAAACCTTTCCAAAGCGCCGTCTTAAGTAACTTTGTGTTGAACTGTTCTGCACTGGGATAGTGAGTCTGTGTAGCCCAGAAGGTTGTGGCAGCTGAGCTCCAGGCTGCTGTGTGGCACTGCCTAGGCCAGTGGTTCTCACCCTTCCTGATGCTGTGACCCTTTAATACAGTTCCTCATGTTGTGGGGGCCCCCAACCATAAAGTTATTTTCATCACTATGTAACTATAATTTTGTTACTGTTATGAATCATAATGTAAATATTTTTGGAGATAGAGGTTTGCCAAAGGTGTCATGGCCCACAGGTTGAGAACCCCTGGTTTAGGCCTTAGGCAACTAAGGGTCTATGGTTGCCAACTTTCATATAGCCGCAGGAGCTCTCCAAGTGAACTGGTTGCTGTGACATAAGACTATGTACTTCACACAACACAACTGAACTGAGGACCAATCTCTCTCTTCCTCTCCTCCTCGGTGCTATGACAGCTCACTGGTGTCTCTCCGGTCAGACCACAGAGTGTTAGACACAGGCCAAGATGATGGCAGGTCTCTAGGCCAACTCTCCTTTTGAGAGATTTGGCACCAATGGCCGTGGAGGCGAGTCCTCATTTCTAGGATCAACATGAAGGAAAGGAGACAGCTATGAGCTGCCTTGAAAGGCTTTTCAGGAGAGCTCCCAGCCCAGGGGCCATGCTAGAAAGCAGTTTCCCCACAGTGGGTGTTTGACCTAATGGACCTCGGCTGCTAACCTTCTGCCGAGGAAGCCCTGGTGAGGCTGCTGACAGGCGATGGCCGCTCCTGCTGAGGAATTGCCGGTTGGCTTTCCCTGGTTACAGGTTCATCAGCTTCTCCGAGGCACTGAAGGTGAACGCCGCTGTCACTCACCTCATGGGCTTCCTGGTTCTGTTGGTAACTGTGCAGCTGTGGGACCTACTGCGACAGAATGCCCAGTTGCAGGTCATCAGCAAGACACTGAACAAGGCCTGGGATGAGGTGGTGGGCTTCCTCCTGATCATCATCATCCTGCTGAGCAGCTACGCCATGACTGTAAGCCCCGAAGTCCAGCATCTTCCCCAAGGGCTGAGTCCTGTCTGTTCCCTCAGAAAAGGCCACCACACACCAAACCATCAGATTAACAGTGGGTTTTTAAAGGTCAGGTAGGAAAGCTGGATTTAGTCATGTTCCATATTTAATGTGTTCTTTTAAGGAGTTTTTAAACTTTATTTCTATTTTGTTCATTTATTTATTTATAGATTTATTTCTATTTATGTGCGTTGGTGTTTTGCCTGCATGTGTGTCTGTGTGAGGGTGTCAGATCCCCTGGAGATGGAGTTACAGTTGTGAACTGCCATGTGGGTGCTAAGGACTGAACCCAGATCCTCTGGAAGAGAACCAGTGCTCTTAACCACTGAGCCATCTTTCCAGCCCCCATATTTAATCTTAAACCCAGATGTTTGTGATGTCTCTAAGATACAAAGTAAGATCAGATATAGTATGGAGTTCAGATAATTTTTGTAGCCACAGTGACTTGAATGGCCACAGGGAATTTCCATTGCTTCTATTGGCCATATCAAGCACCTCAGGGCAGAAATGTTACTACCATTGACTGGCCTTTCTCCTGTTCAGTTCAACCTGCTGTTCGGATGGAGTATCTCTGACTACCAGAGTTTCTTCAGCTCCACAGTGACTGTTGTTGGCCTCTTGACAGGAATTTCTAACCACAAGGAGGTAAGATAGATAGATGATAGATGAGGAATGGACAGACAAACGAACGAACGAACGAACGAACGAACGAACGGACGGACGGACGGACGGACGGACGGACGGACAGACACAGATAAATAGAGCAGAAGCAGCCTCATTTCCTTTCAGATTCCTGTTTGGCTTAGCAGCTTTAACTAGTGGGATGGTATGGTTGCTTATTAAGCAACCTTGCGCTGCACAGGATAAGGAGAACCTACATCCTTGCCCTTGTCTCCAAGTAGTGCCTGTGCACGACCCCACACTACTCACCATCCATTGCTTCCAGGCACCCGTGCCCTCCTCACCTCCTCTCCCCCATGCCCTTATTCTCCTGCCAGAACAGCCCAAGCTGCTGAGGCTCTCAAAGGCCCTCTGAAACTGTGACGAACTAACCAAAGGTTGTGCCAGAAAGAACGCATTCGTTCTTTTCACAGTTAACACACGTGTTGTGGAATATTAGTTTTAAGATGTGTTTACACTTATTTATGCTGTGGAATATTTATTTACGGAGCAAAGGTGTGTTACATTTGTTTAACACTGTAAAGCTGTGTTACTTTGCCTGTCTAAAACACCTGATGGTCTGATAAAGAGCTGAATATCCAGGAGCTAGGCAGGGGAGGGATAGGCGGGGCTGGCAGGTAGAGAGAATAAATAGGAGAAATCTAGGCTTGAAAAAAGGAGAGTGAAGAGCAAGAGAAAGAGAAAGAGAAGACACCAGGGGCCAACCACAGAGTAAGAAGAAAATAAAGATATAGAATAAACAAAGTATAGAATAAAGAAAGGTTAAAAAGCCCACAGGCAAAATGTAGAAGAGAAACAGGATAATTTAAGTTTAGTTAGAAAAGCTGGCTAGAAACAAGCCAAGGCCAGGCATTCGTAAGTAAGAATAAATCTCCGTGTATTTATTTGTGAGCTGGGTGGCAGGTACCCAAAGATTTAAAAAACAAACAAAACAAAAAACAAAAAACAAAAAACCACACACACATCTTGGTGAGCTTACTCCTCCCTCACCCACATAAATCCTTGTCTTCCTATATTACATAGAGGACAAGGCACTTCACAAAAAATTATGTTTGAGATAGGTATGCTGGTTAGAACAGTAAGATAATTATAAAAAAGGCACACAGTCCCATAAATGTAATTTTACACAAAATGAACCAAGTGAAGGGGAGACTTCAAATAGGCATCTTATGAGGATTTGAGTCCTAACATTGAAGGGCTTATGTGATCAGGAAATTAATGGAACTAGTGACACTTATACAATTAATCACTCTGGTGACTCCTTGTCTTAGTCGGGGTTTCTACTGCTACGATCAAACACCCTGAACAAAAGCACCTTGGGAGGAAAGGGTTTATTTGGATTATATACCCTCACAGTCTACTGATGGAGGCCAAGACCTGAACTCAAGGCTTGCAGGAACCTGGAGGAAAGAGCTGATGCACAGGCCATGGGTTCTCCTTACCAGCTAGCTCCTCAAGGCTTTGCTCAGCCTGCTTTCTTACAGAATCCAGAGGCACCGGTCCAGAGTGGTACCACCCACAATGGGCTGGGCCCTGCCACATCAGTCACTGATTAAGAAAACGCCAACCAGACCAGTGACTCTGAAATGAACACTTGCAAGTAGATATATGAACAAAAGGATATACTGTGATTCACGGTGTCACATTACAGCTTCTGTGACAAGATTTCTCTTTTTCTTTTAAATTTTATTTTGTGGGGGAGACTGCAAGGGCAGAGGGCAGATACGAAGGGACAGGGAGATGAATGGTATGGGGATACATGATGTGAAAGATACAAAGAATGAAGTTAAAAAAAAAAAAAAGAAAGAAAACTCTACAGGCTTGCCTACAGTCTAATTTATGGATGTTTTCCTCCTCTCAGATGAGTACAGTGTGTGTGTCAAGTTGACATAAACTAGCCAGCACACCAGTGATTCAAAGATTACTGATTAAGTTAAATCAGCAGCTTTCTTCCCAAGAAAGGATTCAACTGCTATTTGTATACTGTTACGTTGCAGCTGTATTCCCCAGGGAATCAGTCATTGGTTAACAGGCCTTCGTAGCAACAATGGAAAGGCCAACAACAAAGGAGGAAAAAAAACTACACCATTTGTTAAAAAGAGCACCTTAAGCTGGGCAGCAGTGGCGCAGGCCTTTAATCCCAGCACTTGGGGGGCAGAGCCAGGTGGATCTCTGTGAGTTCGAGGCCAGCCTGGTCTACAGAGTGAGATCCAGGATAGGCACCAAAACTACACAGAGAAACCCTGTCTTGAAAAACAAAAACAAAAACAAGTATTTTCCATTGACTCTTTTTCTCTCCCTAGTTTCATCAGATTCAACTGTGTACTTAGAAATAAATCCCAGATGTTAGCACAGGTTACTACATACAGAGGCCTCATTGTCTTCCCAGGTTATCGCTCTCTACCCGGTCCTCGGCTCCTTTCTGGTCCTCACTAGTATCATCTTGATGGGACTTGTGATCATTAATCTTTTTGTTTCTGCCATTCTCATTGTCTTTGGAAAAGAAAGGAAGGCCCTTGAGGTGAGTAACTGGCCCAGTAACTGAACAACTGACTGTCACGGTTTCCTGTAACTGGAAAGTGGTTCTCAATCTTCCTAATGCTGTGACCCTTTAGTACAGTTCCTCATGTTTGGTGACCCCCACCATAAAATAATTTTCGTTGCTACTTCATAACTGTCATTTTGTTACTGTTGTGAATTGTGATGTAAATATCTGTGTTTTCTAATGGTGTTAGGCAACCCTTGTGAAAGGTTCATTTGACCCCAAAGGGGTCACACCCCACAGGTTGAGAACCACTGCTTTAATACAGGTATGGTGGCACACATTTGTAATGCCAACATTTGGAAGTGGAGATAGAACTCAGAGTTCAAGGCCAATCTGGGTTACAAAAGTTAAGACACCATGACATAATGTACATTTCCTTTAGTGGCCTCAGTTACTTTCCTAGGAAATCAAATCGTCAAGACATAAACTGGTCTCCAACCGGTTTACTATATTTATGGGGTTTTTGGAGGGGTACCTTTGGTACTTGCACCTACAATCTCGGGTCACTCACTTTTCTCTCTGTCTTCAAATACTCAGAAAGAAGCTACACTGACAGATATGTTACTACAAAAGCTCTCAAGTTTGTTAGGAATCCGAAAGCACCAGAATCCTGCCTCTGAGAAGCCTGCTGACAACACTGGGTATTGACATCTGTGTCTTAATCTCATTATTGCCTAGCCTAGCTTACATTTTACTGTATTATTGATAATACTTTACATTTCATGACAGAAGTGTAACACTTGGTGTTAGTGGAGAATCAAAATCCCATCGTCTCCATAACCTTGCTGATGGACTTCAGCAGTGTAATAAGGAGAATGATACGCTAAGTACATAGCACAATCCAGCTATACTGCCAACTAGCGGGTAACAGAATGCTCACCACTCATGCCAAGAGTGAGCTCAACTGCAGCTTACTAAAAATAGAGTAGCAGGCAAGCAAATTCATAGATGCTATCTGAGCTCAAGTCCAGGGATGGAAATGAGCCCCAACAGCTCCTGACGCCTGCAGTCCTAAGGGAGAGGAAAGTGAAGGCTGGATCTGGCTTACACACTAATATGAGTCACCTGGGTAAAATATTCTCCACTAAAATCCATTCATTTGACCAACACTAGAGAAAGCAGGACATGGGATCTTTATTAGCAGCTACTGAGCTATGAGACAAAACGATCAAAAACAGTTGCTTGAAACAGGTATGTACAGAAATATACATAAGCAAAAAATCTCATCTTCCAGTCCCAAAGCTAACCTCTTGGGGAAGGGTGGCTTTGGCTAGGGGCAAAGAAGCATATGTTACCATAATAAAGAGTCATATCCACCCAGGAAAGCAGTGAGCTACAGCCACATGACACTAAAACTTAAGATATCAGTTTGTAAAGATTCCCTTAATCATAAAAGTTTTCAAATGAAAACGTATCCCTCCTTTCCTGTAGGCTTCCAGCTCTCTACCCAAGAGACTTGAGTACTTCTATTAAGGCAACTGGAAGCCCACCCGAGGCTTGGATAGAGACCTATGTTTTCCACCTAACATGCTATGAGAAAAACAAATTCCTATAGTGCTGCTCTTTCCTAAAAGGGAAACACAGCACTCAAAATAAAGCAAAAGGCCACAGAGGGCTCCCTGAGAATCCAGTAGAACTAAGAGAGAACTTTTCCAAACAAACTTTGCAACTGGATCCAGGTGGAACAGTGCCCTGCAGCAAGGAGTAGTGTATAGGTCAATGAGAGGCCCTGCCTCCAGGAACCGTGACAGTGGCTTCCTGAGCCATCTAACTCATTTGAGAAAACACATGGCGGCCATGATTCTCTACAATCACCCCCATGCAGAGGGATGCATTTACAAGTCAAGGTTGAAACACATCATAGGGTACTCTCTTCCATGGTCCAGCCATCTTTGGCAACTCTACCCACAATACTTCTCACTCCTTTGGAAATGGAATGGCCAGGAGAGAACCAAGGATCCATGTGACAGAAAGACAGACAGGCAAACACAGCCACCAGAAGCCAACTGCTCCAGCCACAGTCTCTAGCTGTTAGTCTCTTAGTGTCACCAGAGAACTGGAAAGCAACACGATTGGTAGAGCAGCAAGAGAGCCCCAAGGAAGAGTGCTCAGTGATGGTTAACAGATGAAACGGAATTGCATGGAGATTCACTGTTACAAGAACTGTTCAGTCTCAACCTCCTGGTTTAAGAGACCTATGTTTTCTTTTTCAGTTCCTCAAATCTCCGAGAAAGATCATCGAAGTCTATGTCTTCTGATGCTGAGGTACTGGCTCCAGCAGAAGCAGTTGGGAGTGTGTCTGGCACAGACGGCAACTCTGGCAGTACAAAGTTGTTGTAATTATCCATGGGTCTCGAAGGGGGCTTTGCAGGAGCTTCTGGCTTGGGTCCTAAGTAAATCAGGGCCAAGAGCACAATGTTACAAATAGCAGAGAAATTACTCAGCCATCCTTTGACAAAACTACCACCCAAAACCCCACAATCCCTTTGGCAGAGGACAGAAAAAGATCAAACTGGAGAGGCTGGGGATGCAGCTCAGTTAGCAGAGTATTTGCCTAGCATACACAAAGCTCTTGGTTTTACCCCAGCACTGCACACACTGGGTATGGTGGTTTATGCCCATCATGTCCAGCACTGGGGAGGTAGAAGCAAGAGGATAAGGAAAGCCAAGGTCATGTTAATACTGGTACTATTTGATGTAATAGTCTAGTCTGTATTAAGTCTTCCAGTTTGCTTTTTTTCTTCTCCTTCTTTTTCAACGCTGGAGATCAAATCCAGGGACTGGAACATGCTAAGCAAATGCCCCACCACTGAACTCACGGCCCCAGCTTCCCAGTGCTGGAATGAGAGATGCACCACCACACCCAACTTCTCCCATTTTAAATGTGCTTTCTGTGGTGCTAGCAGCACTTCAGTTTTTAACTTACTGAACAACTGCATAAACATGCTTACTTTATGAAAACTCACCCTTATTGTTTGTGCTGTTTTGCCCTGTGTGCTGGCTAGTTTATATCAACTAGACACAGCTAGAATCATTTGGGAAGAGGGAACCTCAACTGAGAAAATGCCCCCACCAGACTAATGAGAGGCCCAGCCCAGTGGGGCAATGCCTCCCCTAGGTGGGTGGTCCTGAGTGGTATAAGAAAACAGGCTGAGCAAGCCAGGAAGCTGAGCAGGTAAAGAGCATTCCTCCATGGCTTCGGTTCCTGCCTCCAGATTCCTGCCCTAAATTCGACAATTTGGACTATGATATGGAAGTATAAGCAAAATAAACCCTTCCTCCTAGAGTTGCTTTTGATCATGGTGTTTTATTGCAGCAATAGAAACCTAACTAAGACACCAATATGTTACTTCAAAAAACAGCTGGGTAGAGGGCTAGAGTGATGGCCCAGTGATTAAAAGCTCTTCAGAGGACCCAGAACCCACATGGCCACTCACAACAGCCTTAAATCCAGTTCCAAAGGATCCAATACTCTCTTCTGGTCTCCAGGGGTGCTGCATGCACGTGGTACATAGACATACATACACCATATACACAAAATAATAAAATGTTGTTTGGTTTTTTTTAATTAGGGAGGGATAGAGAGATGGCTCAGCCATTAAAAGCACATGTTACTCTTCCAGAAGTCCCAAGTTCAGCTTCTACCTTATATCAAAACCACCTTTCAAGCCAGGCTTGGGGCGAGGGGGCATGCCTTTGATCCCAGCACTTGGGAGGCAGAAGCAAGTAGATCTCTGAGTTTGAGGCCAGCCTTGTGGTCTACAAAGTGAGTTCCAGTACAGCCATGGCTACACTGAGGAACTCTATCTTGAAAAACCAAAAAAAAAGAAAAGAAAAACCACCACCTAACACTGCAGCCCCAAGAGAGTTCTCCAGCCTCCAGAGACCTGCATTCACATGTATAAACCCACATACATATATATAATGAAAAGTAATAAAAATGTACTTAAAAAAACTTAGGTGACTAAAATTAAACACAGAACTGGAAGATTGGGGCTAGCAAAAATATTTTATGTTTTAAAGCAAGAAGTCCTGAGTTCTGTGTTAGACGCATTCTATTTGAAAAAGGACATGGTCCTTGGGTGAATGTCATGGCCATGGAGAGAGGAATAGTGAGAGAAGAGGATTCAGCAGCATGACGTTTTCTGAAACACTCACCAACAATCTGTGCAGAAGAAACATTTTTATCACCATTAATGTCATCAACCTGTAAAACACAGATTGTTACCAAAGGAAAAGACTATGAAAGGCATCTCTAGACAAAGTACTAATACTGGTACCAGCTCCTAGTTTTCCAAAAGCTAAGCTGTTCACCAAAAGCAACAGAATTTGCTCCTAGGAAAATGCCTCCTAGTCTCTCCACGCTTCTCTAAACCACATGGACACCATGCCAACCTCTGAACTGCTAAGCAAAAAGAGAGAGAAGTCTTACCACACTGTGACACTTTTCAGCTTCCAGGCAAAGCAAACTAGTAAATCTATAAGAACCAAGGCCTCAAGGACTGATGAAGATCCACCTCATTCCACACACAGTTGACCATGTTTTAATACATGGAATACTAAAACGTGAGAAAGACTCAGTTCCAGGAGAAAACACATCAACTAGAGATGAAAACCAATGGGAAGAATGATAAGCAAACTAAGGATAAGGGAGAGCTTCCTAGGTGAGCAATTTACATAGCAAATCCCATACCAACTTGTTTTCTAAGTAAACCATAGGCTGGAAACAGCTCTCAAAGCCATGTATATGAGCCATATATATATATATATATATATGCAAGACTGGCAGAAAACAAGTAATTGTGAAGCAGAGCTGCTGTTACAAACAGTTCAAGACATCTTTACTACATGAGCTATTTATGCAATTACCCCAAACCCCTAAGCACTAGGGACTGCACCTAGGGCCTGCTACATGATAGACACACACCTGGCCACTCAACTACTTCCCAATGGTTTTTACCCTTTATTTTGAATCAAGGTCTTATATTTGTGATCTATCTACTTCAGCTTCCAAGCTGCTAAGATAACTGACCTGTGCCACAGGTTTACTCTATGTAAGTTTTAACTGTAAGAATAAAATGTGAAACCAACACTACAGGCCAAAATCGACTAACTAGACACTTTTGTTTAAGTCAAATACCATTACTATTCTTCCCCATGAATATTGAAAATTTAAAATAAAAAACTGATGCTTTAATATATCTTAATATCAAATTATACAGTAGCTCAATGTGATTCTCAGACTAGTTAGTAAAACAAATATATCTAGATTAAGTGCTCTAGTAGGGCACTACAACTTTCTTTTTTACTTTTTTTTAGATAAGCTCATGTAGTCCAGGCTGACCTTGAACTCCTGATCCTCCAAAGTGCTGAGACTATAGGCATGTGCCACCATGCCCATATGAGACTGTAACTTCCTAAGAGCAGCTCCTTCCTGATTCCTGGCCTCAGTGCTGACATAGCATGCCCACCACAAATGCCACCAACAGCGCTCCCCATCTCCAGGGCAGTATGAAAGCAACGAAGAATCCCAAAGCAAGAGCAAGACCCATACTAAGTTGATCAAAAGTTTGCCTTCCCTGTTATCATTTTGCTCTCTTCATGGGATTCACTCTCCTGCCGTTTATCAAAGAGCTCAGGCACTTACAGACTCATACGATGGGGGAGTTGCTGGTATCTGAGGTGGGTGAATGTTAGGAAAGGCCTGGTAAGTCCCCACTGGCAATCCACTGAAATCCGACTGCAAGAGAAAAGCAGTATCAGAAACACTGCTCCCAATCTGTAACTTCTGTATGGGATGGGAAGAAATATGTGTGAACACACACACATCATGTAT